CACTCACCCACTCACCCACTCACCCACTCACCCACTCACCCACTCACTCACTCACTCCCTCACTCCCTCACTCGCTCACTCACTCTCTCACTCTCTGAGTCTCTCACTCACTCGCTCTCACTCTCACTCTCATGCTTTGACCCACTCTCACCTCACTCTCTCACTCTCTCACTCTCACTCACGCTCACGCTCACGCTCACACTCACGCTCACGCTCTCACTCACACTCACTCACTCTCACACACACTCTCACTCACTCTCACTCTCACTCACACTCACGCACTCACGCACTCAGGCGCTCAGGCACTCACGCACGCACGCACTCACTCTCTCACTCTCGCACTCTCTCACTCTCTTACTCTCTCACTCTCACACTCTCACTCTCACTCACAGTCACACTCACTCACTCACAACCACCGCCACCATCACCACGATCTCCACCTTCGTCACCACCATCACCTCTCTGGACCCCAATGCGTCTAGATCTCTAGACTTTCTGCTGCTACACCTCTAGACCTCACACACACACTGTTTGGAGTCTCTTGCCGGGATAACTATACATATCTATAGTATTTGGTACTAATTTGTGTATACATTATAACTCATATATAACATATATCCACTTATATATATCTCAATCTATAATATATCATAGACAACCCCCTGGCGCGTCCTCGCTCTGGGACTCCCGGGCAGCACAAGTTCGTCTGAAGCGTCAGGATCGAGGCGGCGCGGAAGCCTGGGGACGAAGTCCGTTTTGCGAAGGTCCCAAGGTCCGAAGTTTCGGTTGTGCAGTCCCTCGGGACACGAAGGTCCAGAGTTGCTCGGTTCGGTGTTGGTTCGGTTTGGTCGAAGTATGGTGTTATTTTTTGTGGGAACCGCGGGAACCGCGAGAGCGCCAGGAGTGCAGGGATGCGTTTGGGTTTCGATCCAAGTTGAACAAACCCCTACTTCAAACACAAATTGTGGAGTCCCGAAATTTGTAGATATGATTTGATCAACACTCTGCAATTGTTGATCAGAATGATTTAGACATGATGGCAAGGTGAGGACACTTGAGAACATCAAAAGGGGTTTCCCCTACTGCGTGTAGCAAAAGGAGCAAATTCATCTTCAGGCAATTCAGCCAGTAGAACGATATTTTTCGCTGAAAAACAACGGCTGTGTGTGAAAGTGTGGGGGCAAACTCAGTTGCCGGAGAAGGAGTCTAAAAACTCCTCTGTCCAGAGTCTGATTCACATCTTCGACCTGAGGGGCATGTTTGATCAAAGATGGTTGGGAACAAAACTGCTCAAATGACACGACTCGCTGGGCGGGTAGCCAAGGACCTGCCATGTCTGGTTTGCGTTTCCTAGTTGCATCCTGCAGTTCCTTCCCTTTCCTGGGTGAGGACCAGAAGCATACGTGCAGTACCGTAACGTGCTGGACCCCAGGCACGACCTTTTGAATCCTCTTGGGATTCCAAAAAATACACATCAGGTCCAATCCATCCGGGTCACCTGAGTTCCCCCGATGTCGATCCGTCCACGCCTTGGTTGCAGTTCATGGCCTTGCCAAACCTGGCAGCGGCGTCGTCTCGGTGGAACCCCCGTCCGTCCCGACGGACTGGCCCGAAAAAGACCGCCCACCGGCGGCCCGGGCTGGTTCCAATTCTGGGGTCAATGTCTATTGTAGTAGGCACACACATATGTATACATATATATATATATATCATATAAATCTGTGTTTAAGTAAATATTATATATATAATGTTATATTGTACATATGGGTCTGGGGAACATTGCATTGCGGATTTGTGGCTGAACTTGCACAGTTGTTATATTTTTGGAGGACATGTCGGTGGTTTTGGGCTAGGTCCCATAAAGATTGGGACCTGGAAGAGATGTTCTTGGCGTAAAGTGGCCATATGTTGCCAAAGCTTTGCATTCTCCAAAGGTCCAAAGCTTCCGGGTCTGGGTATGGTCATGGAAGGAACCAAACATCTGCTTGGGGGACCCAAGGTCTCGGTGTCTGCCTATCTGTCTGCGTCCTGTTCGGTCTGGTGAGCCACATGTCTTGTGGCTGGATGTCTTGTGGCTCAAGAGGATGGGACTATCCTATTTCCTTCACAAGTTCAAGAGAACGGTCACCTGCAGGGCGAGAAATGACAAAGTTCAAGAGCTCCAGCGCCCAAACGACCATCATGTTGTTACAGTAGTTCTACAGAAGTCGCTGCAGTTGGGGTAGTGACACCACTTTGAGTATCTTTGGGTGATGAATGTCCCGATCTACCAAGAAATGCAAACCCCGAAGCTGGAAACACATGCTGGATGCTCATAACTCCATCTTCACCCCAAAACAAACCTAAATCATAAGAGGAATTCACAAGTGTACCTGAAACCTTCGTTGGTAAAACATGGGTATAGGCTTAGGGCTCAGGCAAAAGATGGCTATAGATAGGTACATCCAGAAGAAACACAACAAGTAAGTACACTACTACCCCCCCCTGTTTGCTTGAAGCTATGTCCCAAAACGCTCGTCCCGGGTCGGTTCCTTTCGTTCTTCCTTTCACGACCCGCCTCATGGGTCCGGTGACGCCGCTCAGGAGCCGCGCCAGCAGGCCGTTTAAGGTCAAATCATCTGGGTCCGGAGGACGAGGGAAGGTCAGAGGGACAGACGTGACCCGGAGGACGTAGTGACCGGAGGACCACACGTGCACGTTGGCACCCCACCGGTGGAAGGAACGACCGAAAAGGAGGCTGGAGTCATTTTGGCCCAATTGGCTCTTGGAGAACTTGGGTGAGAGTCATCAGGACAACAAGTATTTGCTCTCTTTCATCCCATTGTCTGGAGTCCCCAGCAGGCAGATTGAAGCCTGAAAATACCAAAGAAGTATATAGACTACTATGGTCAAAACAAACTGTTCCCGCAACAAAAGACTTGTCCCACTGACATGACTTCTCTTTCCCAATGGCATTCCTGCGGAATAACTTCCACCCCGAACTACATTATAGTATTACTATACATTTACTTTTGGGTTGAAATTAATCCGCCGGAATTCCGCCGTGATCCTCTGTAGGAGTCAATGTATTCACAGGATTGTTACCAACTCTTGTCCTGCCAAAAATGATCTCCTCTGTACAGCCGGGAGTCCGTGTTCATTAAACTGAATGCCTTAGTCAATCCTGTTGCAAGTTCTTCAGTTATGGGAAGATCATTGTTCTTGTTGCTTGATTTGGTCGCCACCAGTGTACCAACCAACTCATATAAATTGTAGGCAAATGATAAACCTTTACATGGGGGGTTCATATAAACCACCTCTTGGGGTCTGTGCCATCTACTCTCAATCCACTGTAACTCAAACCAACAAATTACACACCAGCTCCCTTTGAAGGTCCGATCAAGAGACACCTTGACTTGTCATACTTGTCATACCCATCGCCACTCTCCAAGAGACACCTCCTTCAAAACAACCGAGTAAACGCTTCTGACCCACCTGGGGAAGAGATGCCCAGGCCGTTGACCTTGGACGCCGCCACCTTCTTCAAGGAGCTCCTGGAAGGGAGCTCGCAGTGAGTGACATGGTCAAGAGCTTATGGTGGGTAAACTGTGGAACTCGTGCTTGTGATTTTACATGGTACAGTAGTTGATGCTCAATATTTTCCACTTCCATGTTCGTGAGTCGGAGCGTAAATTAATTGTCTATCTCTTGTAACATGTTGGTAAGCCCAAGACCCACAACACGTGTCATTTGAGGAGTTCACCAAGGTACTTATATCATAGTTGTTGAGAAAGCAATGCATGGCAATGGTATATCACTGCAAGTCATTGCCAAATATTCTATGAAGTCGACTTGCCAGCTTAATGAGCTGACCACAGAAAACAATTCAACTACTACCACATGATGAATAATATCTAGCCTGGGCTGCGCAGCGCTTTTCTTCAAGCGTGGCGATGAAACAAGGATAATATATACATGGATCTTCCGACTGAGCAACATGTCTGCCTTTTCATCTTCAAAACCAGCCAGGTTCGGCATACATGTTGCATAGTTGGAAGATCCAAACAAAATACCGCTACACGGCTGGCGGTCCTGTCGTAGAAAGTGGTGAGGTCGGAATACCTCATGAGGCGCGGGGATTGAGACGAGGTCAGAGATGAGAAGCCAAAGACTGGCTTCTAAAGCGTCAACAAATGAGCGGCTCAGGAATTCCAAACGGGTGGTTTTATGTGGTGACATATATATGTTTGGAAGTCAGTTGTCACTTATATGTTTTCCCCTAAACCCTAAGTTCCTAAGAGAGTGGATGTGATAAGGAGCACCCGCCTCCTCCATGGATTGGATTCATTTTGGGACTGCTGGGCCGAATAAGTTGCTCCAGATCTGAGTTGTAGAATAGACCTGTTGTGAGACAAGCGATGCAGTGTTTCATTTTTCAAGTGCAACAACTTTGCATTACAGTAATTCCCATGACTCCCATCGCATTGGGAAGTTGTTATTGCTGCGCTAGATGCTAAATCCCTGTTCCTTTTTGGGTGGTGTTTCACACTCCAAAATCCACTACAGTGCCGCAAAATCCATCTCTCTCTTTGAGGTCCTCGCCACTGAGTTTCCGCAAGGCAGGGAATGAAACCGCCGGGCTCGAATCAGGAAAGCTTGTGATCGTGGGAGAAACCACTGAAACCACCAGCACCCTGTTTTCATGAAAACAGTTCAACAAACCGCTTCCAATGGGTGTCCCATTGAGAACATATTACTAATATAATGAGTAGTGCAGGGTCGTCCATTGGGAAGCAGTGGGGATCCTTGTAGAAGAGAATCAACAAACATAAGGAACTACAAATGTTTGCCTATATATGTCTTCTTTCAAGGGAGCTTAATTTGGCTTTGACATGCTTTGACCATTGGTGTTTGCTCCTCTATTTCGGGAGAAACTGTGGAAACAAGTCCACACGAAGTGAGCCTGCTGAGTCAAGGTGACCCGCAGGATCAGGGCGACCCTTTGGCAACCGAAGCTCGCTCCAAGTGAGTGAGTGCATGCATGCATGTGCATGTGCGTGTGCGTGTGCGTGTGCCTGTGCGTGCGTTGGTATATGAGTTGAGTGAGAACACCTCCATCTCAAACGTCCGAGCAACTCGGAGAGCGTGGACATCATCAGCCCAGACATGGCATGTTGGGACGCGTCACCTGCGGATCTTCGCTCGGATCTGGTGCCGTTCCATCTATCCGAGATCTTGAAAGTGGAGTGAACCAGAAAGTGTGGCATGGTGATCATACCCAAAGAATTCCTGGCCCACCATTAATGGTTGTTTGACCCGAACAAGCCCTAGACTTCCAAGACCATGAAAGAAAGGCTGAGCCGGTTTAGTGTAAAATCCGTGAAGTGAAACAATGGTTGGAACGGGGATTCAGGCTATTAAATCAACGATGACCCCAGGAATCATAAGGTTTAAGATGGCTTCAGGGATTCTGAGGTGTCCTTTAAACCCGAAGGGGTCACACAAATCAAGAAGCTCAGCAAGCAGGTCAAGTTGATCATCCAACCCGAAAGAGACGATGTTCTGCGATCAACGAAATTCAAGTTCACCATCCCTCCAGTCAAGTCTTCGCATCTGTAATCTCTCTTCAGAAAACGACTCACATCGAAATGCCTCCGATCTTAGAGTAACATTCCCAAACAATCTATGGGAGTGGCATATCTACCTACATTGGGGGTGGTTGACCTGGGGTTAATGTATATACCTGGAGCTTCCTCAGTGTGTGTGTGTGTTTTTAAATCTGCGGCGTGGAAACCATCTTTTGGAGTCACAGCCTTATATTTGAGTCTGTTTCTCTAGTTGTCTTATATTCCACAGGCTTTTATGCACAAGCTACGGGCGTTTATTGGTGAGCCACGGGTGTTTTTGCCGAACGTGGTTTTTTGAGCGGATGTTTCTTTCGGTTGTGGATATGATAGCTACCGACCCCAAAAATAGCAACCGAGCTCGGTTGCAGGTATTAAACATCAGTTGCTACACCATGTAAAAACACAAGCACTAGTTTCACAGTTTACCTACCAGGCTGCTGAAGACATGTCACTCATGGTGTGGGATGTTTCGTTGCCCAAACAAAGGTCGGATTTTGGTCTAAGTAAATTCCTCCTCCAGGAGTTCTTCAGGGGGTCTCTGTATTCAAAAGACGCACCAGATCGCACCAGTATAATATGTAGTAATATATTCTAGAGAGAGAAAGCCTTGGTAGTCTCATTGACGCATCCCTGATCTCTTCCGAAATTTTCACCACGTCGATGCCTCCTTGATCGGCCATGCCCGTGAAGGTGAACCTCATGAAAACGTCGACCGGTCGTAACCCGGTGGTCGACCGGTCGTTCCGGTAACAACTGTTGGAAGAACCTTCTGAAAGAGTTGAACATTGACGACTGTCACAATGAAAACAGTTTAGGAAATACAACTCCCACTTCTTTCTTAATGGAAGGACGGCACTGGCACTATGTGGGGATTCAAATCGCAATTGTCAATGATAGCCCCACTGATCTTTTCCTCTCAAAGCAGGACATTCGCATAAGGTTTAAGTATCCACAATCCAGCTGAATCTGCAGGGTCCAATTCTCCTGGTGATGTGGGTATAGATCGCAAGTTGGATCCCTGTGGCTCGAAGAACAACAAAGACACTGCCCAAACGCTGCGAATCCTTTGGAAGGATCAGACCCGAATCCTCGGTCTAATCCCTAGGTGCTGAGGGACCGGGAAAGGGCTGTGAACGAAGCGTCTGGGTGCTAAAGGTGCTATAGAAGACTGTTTTTTAAAGAGTCCTTATTCATTGCGACCTGCTACCCCAAAATCTTGTGAGGAACCCATATGTTTGACTCCGCTCTTTCTAGAAAAAACCTGACAATACAAGAACGATCAAGAACGCCTTGGTCCAATTGCTAAGGTTCAGGAAACAATTGATTAAATCATATTAAATCCAATGCCACTCCAGACCTGAACATGTTCTAATTGTTTAAAACCAAAACAGCTTCCTCATACCTCGGTTTAGGTTCAGTGCTTGGGGTAGGAGGGTCTATCTAAGCACTTTCTGAGGTTGTCGGAGGTGAGGGATAGATTTGGCGATGTTCCATTTGGTGGTGCAGCATCCTGTTCATCAGTGGTTAAATTTTTGTGCAGAAAGGCTTTTGGTATTCATTTCTCATCCCCAATCCCCACCTGCAAACATTGTAAGCTCACGATGTTTTCTGTGATCATGTCCATTTTGTTTGGACATTTTTTCTGGTAGGGTCTTCATTTGGTGTCACAGGGGTATCGGGTGGCTTTAAGGCTTGGCTTTGGTGAGATACTTTGGGCCTGCGGGACCGTTTTGCTTGGTTCGTTTTCCAAATGGTGCAGTGTTGCAGTAGCGGGATGAATTTTGTTTTGTTTGTTGTTGGGGGCTGTCTTAAGGAACCACTGAGGCACACAAGTTTTTTCACCCACCACTGCAGCACATGGGCACACTCCCCACATCGACCTGTGCGCCGGGGACCAAACCAATATTGCAGTTGTATCATGTTGTATCATACATGTGGGAACTGCTCTGAATGCCCTGATAGGCCAAAGCTGGCGCTTCTGTCCATCAATTACAACCACAGTTCGCTCAGGGAGCGTACCTGTGCAAACGAGGGCTCACAAAAATTAGAAAACACATCACTCGGCACCTTCTATATATAGATTTTACCCTCGGCTGGCTCACAAAAGGTCTGCAACCTTGGAATGGATTCTGCCTCCTCGAAACTCTACCTTCGGCTGGCTCACAGAAGGTCTGCCACACTGGAATGGCTCCTTCCTCGAAATTATATCCCTCGGGTGGCTCAAAGGTCTGCTACATGCGAATGGCTCCTTCCTCCAAAATTTACCGTCAGGTGGCTCACAGAAGGTCTGCTATGTTGGATTGTCGCAAAGCCCCAATCTGGAATTGGCTGTCCGTGTGCCACAGAATAGAAAACAACCAATGGGCTCCTTGCAGTTGCGGAAGGTCTCCAGGACGTCGACAAGCTGACCACACAGTCCGTGCGGGGACAGCTGGTGGATGTCTGTCCAAACATCCACTGCAGAAGCCTGGCAGGCAGGCACCTGTTGCACTGCTGGCTGATTGAGCAATCCCATGCCAGCTCAGGTTTTCAACCTCTTGCTTCCAGCTCACCTTGTCCTTTGTGTTGAAGTGGTCCACGACATGGAGGAAGTCGCCTATTGAACTTGAGAGCTGGCGCCTTCCTCCTCTAAATGGCTCCTGCCTTCTCAAAATGTTACCCTCGGGCGGCTGACAAAAAGGTCTGCTATGTTGGAATGGCACCATGAGCGCTGTGCAGTGGCCACTTCAGCACAGTACTCATGACACTGGCCAGTGCAAGGCAGCTCTTCATTGCAACCTGGTCAGCTGAAGCAAGCCATCAAAAGCCAACAGAAGCCACGGTCCTTCCTTCCTTCCCTCCCTCCCTCCCTCCCTCACTCTGCATAGATAAGCAAAAATTGAACAACGGCAACAAAATACTAGCTCCAACATGATACCTGTTCTTTCAAGTTCATCTGTTCTGGATACTAGCTGTCACTGTGCTCAACCCGCAATAAATGTGTTTGTTTGCAATTAGACTGGTGAGTAATCTGCATGCCGCATGATCATGACGCACTATAGTAAAACATTAAATTCTAACGAATAGCTGAGAGAGGCCTGCGCTCAGGCCAACTCTCTCCTAGATAGAAGTAGTCCAAATCCTCCCAAGAAGGTGGCTTGCTATGGAAACAAAGGTCTGTAAACATACAGGGTTTAAGATCAGGGCAGTGACTGATCATCACCCCATCCTAAGGGGGGGGGGGGGGCTAAAATGGGTAGCCCTTTTTAAGGGGGGGGGGGGGGGGGTACGTACGATTCAGCAAATTTCATATGGAAGTGTGGTTTAATGATTGTTCATGCCGATGAAGCATCCACGCACATCCGCAACTTTCTTTGCGCTCTTTTTCTGCAATGTCCAGTTGCTCTTGGGTATGAAGATGCACGCTTGGCCTTAACGCCTTACCATGCCTTACCTTGGTATATCTTACCATCTTTTGAAATTAGCCTCTTTTCCTTGTACAGGCTACATCATGCCACTTTTGTCTTCAAATGTGATGATCCTATGTAGACACGCTTCATACGAAGTATCATGAAACATGAACTATCATGAACATTCATGAACGGGATATTACCCTACGCAATTCTATGCATTTCAACATATTTCAACATGTTTCGGCATACTTCAGCTTGCTATATCTTGCGGTGGTTCTGCAAGCCTTTGCAAAGTTGGCACATGTTGCACAAAAGTAGATGTTATCCATTGAAGCATCCACTGGTGACGTCTTTATATACACTGTTGAACCTTGGTGGGCATTAGCATTCCAGGCCATCAGGCCATATCTGAGCCTGACATACCCTGACACCAGAAAGTAAGAGTAAAATAGCACACGGGCCAAAAACAGTCAACTTATGTCAAGACACATCAAAACGCATCAAAAGACGCCAGAATGAGTTTGCAGGAGGTGAAAGATTTGACACCTGTGTGGCACCTGGCTGGTGAGCCATGGTGAGCCCTCGACATCCCAGGACTCAATCCCAATTGACCAAAAATCGAGATTGAGCAGCGGAGATTGAGCCCAGAGCCTGGCTCGACCTGCTGCACTCTGGCAGACCAGCTCATCTACTGCCACAACGCACACCCGAGTAGAAAATCACACCTTCTCAGCTCAAAAACAAAAACAGGGCAACGTCGGTTTGGCTGGGTTGAATCTGTGTCAACAAGTGGCAGCATACAGCGACATCCAACAACATCAACACCTCAGTCTATATCTCACTGGCTCTTGCGTTTCCAAGGCTCAGCTCAGTGAACTGGACACTGCACAGTGTGAGACAGCGCATACACACAGATGACTGCTTGGCTGAGTGCTGACATTGGTACGTGGTGGCTAGGCATTTTCTTTAGACATTGAATCTTGTAAGTGTTGCATTTGTAAAGGTTTTTTGCATACAGATCATATGGAAAAGGAAAAAGGGACATGGAAAGGAAGAGACAAGGAAAAGGTCACGGAAAAGGACAACTCTGACACGTGGTCACTGTTCAATGGGGCAGCAAGCCACAACACCTGCCCCCTGACTATTTTAAAGCTCAAATTCCAATGTGACAGGCTCAAAAAAGGACTTAAATTGAACTCAAAAGAACAAAGCTCAAAAGTGGAAAAGAAAACGAAGCGGAAAAGGACAAGGAAATGAAAAAAAAGGAAAGGAAAAGGGAAAAGGGGAAGGCGAGGACCAGGAAAGAGAAAAGAAAAGGAAAAATACAAATGAAAAAGGAAAAGGCAGAGGAACAGAAAAGGAAAAGGACAGCCACCAACGGGAGCCATTCACTGGTCAGGTGTATAATGCAGCGAGGGAAATATAAGAAACTATTTTGTCATATCATGTCCACAGTGCTGAAACTAGAAAGAAAAACAGAAAAACAGCAACTGCCTTTCATGACTGATTCGCCCGTTTCTCACTCATGCTTCTAGGGCAGCTAGGGCTAGGGCTTCTTCTTGACCTGGTGAAGTCGTTGGATTGGCCAGCTTGAAAGACAATGAAAGACATGCTCCATTTGCCGAAAGCAAGTTCCAGCCCCAACATCACCAGCTTCAATGGATAACACCTACTTTTGAAAGCTTTTGATAAACTAGGTGTTGAAAGTTGAAGGTCTGGTGTTTTGCAAAAGGCACTGGGGTGCTCTTGTTTTATCTACCAATGTCTAATAAGTTCAAAAAAAGACTATACTCACCCTCTTTTCTGATGTGCGCACGTTCCCAATGCACGTCCATGCATGTCTGTATGTGCACATGTGCGTGTGTGCTCACATGCGCATACATATCAGGATGTTGTTTGTGTATCTTTTCGCGTGCAAACGCAAGCAAGAAAGCATCCTTCTGGATTTCACCGTGCTCACTGGTGATCTCACGGACCTGTGTACATCTTTGAGCATTATTGATGCTGTATGGTGCAGTTGAACATGGCTGAACAAAATTGAAGCATGTTATAACGATATGTCACTATAAATAAACATAAGAGCCTCCGTAGCAACATAAAGACAGTCAGAGGACATCATGTAGCAAATGCCTAAACAAACTAGGACATAGCATGATTTTAAGTTACATATTGTGGCTTCTATTGCTTTTCATACCGTCCTCGATCATGCTTCGAAACGTTTCAGTGTCCTAGAAACACCTTGCAGCAACATGGAGCAACGTCGAAAACCAATGCGCAGGGTGAAGAAGCAATTGAACAAAAACC